TGGACTATACTTCATTTCGTTAATGGGATGATATCATCATTTATGTCATTTGTAGTTTGGATTTTTATTATTTTCTGATGTCACTATTTCAATTTCTTCCATTTTTTTTTTAATAAGAAAATGTAAGGAAGGGTATATAAATAAAATAAATAAGTTTTTTTTGGAGATGATCAATAAACTTTTATATTAATATTGTTCTTCGGGGACGGCATTTTGCATAATCAAGTAAAATTGCTGAAAAAATAAACACTAAAAAAATAATCTTGGATAGTTAGTGATCGCCAGAGTAGTTTATGCCGCATAATCATCGTCCTTGTTGTTATTGCATTCAAAAAAAAAACAAACAAACAATAAATTAAATTCGACGCCACTAATAACTAAATATTAATAATATGTCGTTGAGAAAGAAGGTTGAGTTGCCATTCAGATAAAAGACACTAATTGATAATTTGATCCATGGTTTGGGTTACCTCTGGTTAAATAGCGCATCCCAAAATATTAAGACCATTCGAATAACGTAGCCAGAACTCATTAAACCGAAGTCGATATTTTCACAAAAACAAATCTTCGATTTAATATGGATTTTTCAAAAAAAATTTTTGTTTACATATTATCAGATATTGATCGCGTGACATCACGGGTGACTGTTATGGCTAAACCTTAATAAATCGGCTAAATTTGTAAAACATTGGATTATCATGCATATTCGTTTTACACATCTAAACTTGATAAGTCGGACGCAGCAATCAATTGTTTAAAGTACTTTATAATATAAATAAATGACCGACTTGTCGAGTTTAGATGTGTATTAATATCAAGTATAATGGATAAATTTGTTTTCCATATAGAACGTACATAATTATTACGTATTACGCCAAAATTAAAAAGGCAAATTTGAAAAAGTATACCTCTTTGCAACGATATAATCGCCACATTTATCTAAATTTATTGTTATTTATAGTTTAATTGGTTGATGATAGTGTTGACACTAGATGTATCCTTCAAGGAAAAAGAAATATCTAAAGATGCTTTTTTTGAAAAATATTGTGCCTTCTAAACAAAATTCCCGAGAAACAATTACATTTATTATTATATCAAATACCGCAAGTATACAATTATTTTTTTGTTGATGGCAGACACGTGACGTGACTGAAATTAAATATTTTCACTTTTTAACATTAATTGAATCATAAATCTTTGAATATAGAAACTAATTGGAACCTGAAACCGTTGGAGCCTAAGACTGCAACAATTAATTTATATAAAAAAATGAAGCCAACAAGTTCTTTGAAGATTAATAATCTAGAACTACTATGATGTGTGTATGATTATATATTTTTAGCTTTTTTTGGATTTTTGCCATCCAACTGTGATTTAAATTTTCTCTAGCAAACTTTTGAGACGTGCAAAGAAATATTTCTAGTGGCATGCTCCGGAACCGACTTGAACCTTCTCACGTTGTTATATCTTAACAAAAAAAAATTTTTCGATCTTTGGAAAAGGCATTATTATATTACCTACCCGTTTTGAAACATTTGACACACATTAACATTCATTTTAAAGAATTTACGTTCACCTACATACAGCATCCCCAGTAAACACTAAGTACAGAATTGTCGATGGTGATGATTCTTCAGGTCCATTTATACCGCCATTGCTTATTTACTACCATCTAACAATAAATAAGATTAAACATAACTCGCTTTTAAAAAATCGCCAGGAATATTATCAATCAAAATTCGATCATTCAAAACATAAAGAATCCACACAACCTTTATTTAATTTATTGAAATCAAGATACAAAATTCTATATTACTTGGTCGAAACACGGCTTTACCAGTAATAGTAATTTCCGCGAATATGTATTTATGCTTTACTTTTGAAACTATCTATCATTATTGTTCATTTCAGAATTAATTTCAAGTATAAATTTATTTAAAAATTTTCTATCTTATTCTAGAAACTCCTCAAAAATTTTCTATCTTCCTTTTAAGGAAAATTTCAATAGAGAGGACTGGTTTGTTTCCGATTTTTGTCACGTGTAACTTATTGCAAATCATATATATAAAGATTATTATTTTTTCATTCATTATAAAGTTTTTGTATTAGAATTTAAAGTTCAATGAAAAAATAAAGACGGAAAATTTTTAATATCATGAAATTATATATATAAAACTTCATATTGTCCATTAATAAAATCTGTCATTATACACTTTAAATTGATTCATGATAAAAATCATATTAAAAATTTAAATTATATGATTTTTGATTTTTTTTTTTGTTGATCATTTTTCCCCATATTTTTTTAATAAATTTCTCTGGTTCATAGACGAATCATCAATTAAGCATGCTTATCAATGATTGATTTCCATATATTAGATTTCACAAAATTTCTTCATTGTATCGCCAGATTCTCTATTTTACAAAACAAATTTCATGGCAAGGTTTTTATAGGCGGGCAAGAGTACTTGAAAAAGAAAGCTTACTATAATCATTTGTCTATTAAATAATAATATGTGAACGAAACTATAACCCTTTTTTTTGTCATGCTTATTTATAGAGGCAAAATTTTAAATGTGGAGTCATGTAGTTTTTTTGTTAATCATTATATATATATATTTCTCAAAAGCTGGAGGATTTTGATACTTCACATGCATAAAAATGTATAAAAATGTATGCATTTATAGATGTGATTACATGTATAGCAATCGCGTCTATATACGCTGCATGGACAAAAGTCGTGTATGCGTCTAAATGATAATAGTGCGAGGTAGTTTTTGGTCAATCTCAATTATTTAACGTTTATGGCCGAGTTTGAGCTACACTCGTTGATTCAATTGCAAGTTTTTTATATTCAACGCTCGTCAATTAATTTATTTTACGAATTTATGTTTGCAACGGTTGCTTTAACACAATACAACGAAATATACAATAAAACAATAAAACGATTTTGGTCAATGACCGTTAGCTCTTTGTGTAGGTGGTCAATCAGTAATAATCTTTAACGCGTAATACTTTTGCTAATTAGTCTTAATACTTTACGTTTACACTTGAACTCGTTTACAAAAACATTCATATTTTACAAAAACCAAAAATTAAACAATAACCGCTCTTATAACCAAATGGACAATTAATTTCCGAAATAATTTGTTTATTATTAAATTTTATAAAAATGTTTATCACAAAACGAATTATTCGCAAAAGAAATAATTTTATATTAACCTTCTGTCTTTACCTTTATGAGCAAGGTTTGGAATCATTAATTAACCGGTTGATTTATTTATTATTACAGTCAATACCATTGTTTTTGAAAACATATTAACTGTTGATTGATTCTCATTTTATTTTATGATTAATTGGTCAAAAATGGCATTATTTATATTAACATGAAATAATAATATATTTAATTATTTTAAACTTTTGTCCATGTATATAATACATACATTTTTATTAAATGAAAAAGTACGTACAGTATAACCATGTTTCAACAAAGTGGCTGGACATATAAAGAAATCTCATCCAAAGTTTGTTGAAACACGAATTTAATTATCCATTAAACGAAATTCCGTACGGAATTTGGAATTGCGATCATAAATTACAAAAAATAGAAGTATATACAACATATTTCTATTAAGGAAATAACATGTGTAAAATACAAAAAGATCTGCACAGAATTTAGCCAATAGAATTTTCTTTTCATAACGTCGATCATTACAGGGTATTATCCCTGATTGAATTTAGCCAATCAGAATTCTTTCTAAATTTTTCATACCATCAATCATTACGATATTTAATATTTCCATCTATGGTAATAACCCTGACTGCCTGATTGTATATATAGTCATTTAGGCTAAAAAAAGCTAAATATTAATAAAGTTTGAATTTTATCAAATAAATAAAATCATCAATATTAATAATATTAATATAATAAACCAATACTAATATAATTTTTCCAGACCTTCCGACAAATTTTCGGACATTCTCATTTTTTACCCGAAAATCACAGGTTTTGGCATATTGTGTTTTTCAATTATTATTTCCTCTCGTCGCGCGGAGAAACAATTCTTCCAGAAAATTTTCCGTGATAGACATCGATCAATTTCCTAAAACTCATATTACTATTTTTATAGTCCGAATTAGATGAGTAATTTGCACCGCATTAAATATTAAGTAAGGTCGAATTCTCAAACAATAAATTCCATCCTTGTCAATTATTATTATTATTTGAGAAATGATGATGATTCATATTTTATTTGAATTAAATTCGAACTATATAGCAATATCCGAATATAAATAACAAAAAAGAGAAAATCTTCTCAGTTGTCTAAGAACTCGATCTATTTCCACAACTCCTCTTAATTATTTGAAGGACGAAGACCATCATTTAAAAAAAAGTTAGAAATTGAATCGAGTTTGAATTTTAAATTTTAAACCCACAAAAGTAAACTCGATAATCAATTATTTATAATCAAAGCCTCCAAATTTCAAATCTTAAAACTTCGAGATTGATCTAATACTAATATATACACGTCTAAACTCGGATAAGTCGGACATTTATTTATACACTTTAAACAATTGATTGCTGCGTCCGACTTAACGAGTTTAGATGTGTAATTTAGATTTCCAATTAAAATGAGCTCGTTCGTAATTTTTAATTATTTTATCATATTAGGTTAATGCAGCTTCATCAATGTATAAAAATGGTCTTTGCCAAGAAAGTATAGATATTTGCCGTGTATTACGTTGCGCGATCAAATTTACACTATGCCAAAGAATTTCCAAAATTTCCAAAATTAACCGTCTCGATAAGCAAATCCTGTTGTATGTAGTTGTATGAATTTGAAATTCACATACGTGGAAATGATGTAAATTTCGGCTTAGGGCAGATGATGTCCACGACAAAAATCATTATATAAGTTGATCAAATCTACTTTTACCTTTAAAAAATAAAAATAAAAAATTTAAAAATCCCAACTGATAAATAAAATAACGTCATAATAATGTCACAAGCCACCACCAATACTAATCCCACTCCTGATAATATTTCTCAAAGAGAAAGACGTAGAATATTATTAAAAGAAATTGATAATGCAAAATTTGGATGGTTTCATATTAGAGCTTGCATAGTTTCAGGAATAGGATTTTTCACTGATGCTTATGATTTATTCGCTATAAACATAGTCTCTACAATGTTGGCATATGTTTATTTTGGAACAATTACTTTGCCTGGTAATTTAGATACAGGGTTAAAAATTAGTGCCGCTGTTGGTACTTTAGTTGGTCAATTGTTATTTGGTTGGTTGGCTGATGTCCTTGGTCGTAAAAAGGTTAGGATTTGTTTTTATTATTATTATTCTCAAATTTGAAGGTTCGTTTTACATCAAAAGTTTTTTGGTCAAAAATGCTGTTTATTCTACAATACTATGTGGCTTTTTAATTAGTCAGGATGAAGAAAATTTCAAGAAAATTTAAGATGTAAAACGAACTATCAGATTTGAAAGGCTTTATTATTATTAGTAGCAAATCAATTAATTGTTCTTGTTATTATTACTTACAACCAACCAACCAACCAACCAATCAATCAATCAATCAATCAGATGTATGGAGTTGAATTAATAATAATGATTGTTGCAACTTTCGGATCTGCAATTGCTTCCAATTCTTTTGCTGTTTCAGTTATAGGCCTTATTATATTTTGGAGAGTGATTTTAGGTATTGGGGTTGGTGGCGATTACCCTCTTTCTGCAGGTACTGTATTCATGACACATTTTGATTTATACTTTCTAAAAATTATAATTGGTTAATAAACACATTATTATTATTTATAAAAATAGTTATAACTAGTGAATTTGCAACTACAAAAAGAAGAGGTGCTATGATAGCAGCAGTATTTGCCATGCAAGGATTTGGAATTCTTGCTTCAGCATTGATTTCATATATAACACTGCTTGGATACAAATCTTACATTGAATCAAACATCCAAGCGCTAGATTATTGTTGGCGCATAGTTATTGGACTTGGTGCGGTTCCTGCCTTTGTGGCACTTTATTACCGTTTGACTATACCAGAAACACCTAGATTTACAATTGATATCGAGGGAAATTATGATCAAGCATCAAAAGATGTTATTACTTACATACCAAAATCCGAGGATGATAATACTGTTAGTGCAACAACAACTGTAGCTGAATCACAAGTTATTAATCCACTTGACTCAACATCAGAAAAAAAATCGTCAAATTTTTACACATGGGGTGAATTTTGGAGTCATTTCGGTCAATGGAAACATGGAAAAGTTTTATTAGGAACCTCATTGTCTTGGTTTGCATTGGATGTGGCATTTTATGGTCTTGGGTTGAATAATGCAATTATATTGGATGCTATAGGTCTTTCAAGTAAGACTGATGATCAATTCACTGGATTGGCAAATATTGCTCTTGGAAACGTTGTAATAACCTTATTAGGTACCATACCTGGTTATTGGGTTACCGTTTTTACTGTTGATAAAATTGGTAGAAAAACAATACAATTGCTTGGTTTCACTATGTTAACCATACTTTTTATCATACTTGGATTTGGTTATCATGCCATACTTGATAAATCTGTAGTTTTATTCATTGTACTTTTTACTTTATCTCAGGTAAATACATATTATATATATATATATATATATTGATGATTCATGAAATAATAATAATAATAATAATAACAAAACAATGATTCTTATCTCAAAAAAAATATAGTTCTTCCAAAATTTTGGACCAAATACTACAACATTCATAATACCAGGTGAAGTATTTCCAACAAAATATAGATCAACAGCTTTTGGTATTTCAGCAGCATCTGGAAAATTTGGTGCCATAGTGGCACAAATTGGCTTCTTTCAAATGAAAGATATTGGTGGAAAAAATGCCTTCCTTCCACATTTATTTGAAATATCTGCATTAATTATGTTTATCGGATTATTGGCTACATTTTTAGTACCTGAAACTAAAGGAATAAGTTTGGAGGATTTGGCAGGTGAAAATGATGACATAGATGTGACTGAGATCAGTGATAATGATGTTAATGGTAATTCTGATAGTAAAAATAATAGTAAAATTGTTGAAAAAACTAATTAAAGATTTTTATAAGATTTTTTTATTTTATGTTATTTTTTTTTTTTTTGTATAAATAAAATTATTTTCAATATCAATTATTATTAATTAAATTATATTTGGATCAAATCCAGTGCGTGCAATACAAGACCATGTTAGAGTTGTTAGTCGAAAGGTATAGTTTCGACAAACATTTAGGCATTACGACAAGGTCACTTGATTTGCCGTTGAAATGTCGAAAATCCAAATATTAATTATTAATATTTACACCACCAATAATATTGGTATTAGTAAATTTGAGAGTGGAGCCAACTTTTTAATAATAATAAAATAATGCGAGTTTTTTTTGTTTGAAATTAGCTGGTTAATTGTATATACTTCATCTTTTATCATTGATACAATGTAACTTCACTGTGACACACGAATTTAATTTTCAAATATATATAAAGTTTGTAATTTTTTTTTGCGAATTATTATAAGGGAATAGATTTTATTTTTATAGTAATTTGTAAGAATTTATATTAATAAATTATGACTAATTTAAAGCATTTTGACAACATTTAGACATTTTGTTTCAATATAACATTTAGGCATTTTGGCATTATTTAGACTTTCAACATCAATTTGGACTTTTGATCTGATCAATCACTTTAGACTTTCGACATGCCTAAATGTTGAATGACGAAACGTTTCGACAAAGCTCAAAAAGTTTCGACTAACAACTCTAGACCATGTTGAGAAGTTACTCGCCTGGTCTGCCTTATTGAAGAACAGACCAAGCTATTAGTTTGAAAACTTTTTGGGAAGATTGATATGGTTACAGCCTTATTTTTTTAAAAAGGACTAATTTTCGCATCAAATACCGTCAACGGCGAAGCACGTGATATGTCAGCAGACCCATTGTTCCTAAGGAAAGCTAGTGCTATGGCTTAAACCGAGTATTAATATTAACATTTATTACGGGGGGTTGCATGTTAGATAGAAGTTAATATGTAACAGTACTGCATTGTTAAAAAAATTATAATTGAAATAAAAAATGCATTAAAATAACTCTCAATTTAATTATTAATTACAAGTTCTGAACTTCCCATAAATACTAACTAGCACAATTACTCAAGATATAATCACATGACTGAGCCGTGTAAACTACTAATTATTGTTTTTTTTTATAAATGTTGAAACAGAACTTGTATTTTACGAGATTCTTATTGATAAACGATTGGTATTGCTTTGCTTTTCGTAAACATCACTAATATTAACATCGAATAATAAGATGACAAGGCTATACAACTGTTACAGATGAGAAAGGAAGGGAAACAATTCAATATGCGACGTTGGATCATTAGACACTTTACAGACGTACATGCACGAATGCTACTCTGAGCACATTACAGTCGTTCCTCATGCACAAAGGCTAATCTGAGTCGCGCCCGATGATACAATGATGCAATTAAATTTCCAGGGAGGGGGAAAGATGCCCTGAAGTTTATCAAAATTGCATCAAGGATGCTTACGCAAACTCTACCTAATCTTTTCTCACAGCACCTGACCAGAGAAGGCTGCTGAGCAACCTCAAACAAAACGGTAACCCCAGTTGTAACCTCCCACCTAAGTTGCAGAATTTCATACCCGTTGCAGGCACCAACTTTATTCATAGGAGTGGCAATAATATAATGCAATCATTGCACAGCATCAATTCTTGTCAACAATCAATGCATATATTGTAACAGCCAAACTTTGATCTGAGGAAAAGATTAGGGAAATTTTTGCTCACCTTACAAAGTCTTCCAACATGTTCAAATCTCTTACACCTGTGGAAGAAAACTCCATAGTGCTGAATTGATGTTTTGCACGGAGTTTGCATGTAGGCGATAGGAAAGTTTTTATTAAATCTGACACCTGTAATCATCATCATCAGATTTATTATTCGTAAGGAATTATATAATAGGAATTATATAATTGGAAAAAAAGAAATTTTTTTTTTTCTGATCCTCTATTCATTTATTTTTGTGAATCTCAAGAGATTCTGAATAGACACACACATTATTGTGAAAAAATGGGTTCATTAAAAAGTTTTCACTTCTACATGGTCCTATCTAGTATTATCATTACACGGGTGATGCAATTTATCAATTTAACTTATTTATGAAATATTATGAATATTGTGATAAACATGTACACATTAGCAGTGACAAAGGTGTATCGTTTGTGTTCAAGGAAAGGATTAAAAAGGTAAGTTTATATTTTTTATCCAACTAAAATATAGAAAAATACATAATTATTTAAAGACATTAAGTTGCTAATGAAAATAAAATGTTGCAAATATTCATCAATTTTTGCCTTTTTGATGATGTTTTGTTCTTTGAATGATTCTCTCTCATCTCAATTTTAAAAAACCTACAAAGTGAACATAAATTATATATATAGGCACAGATTAAAGCAATGAATTGTGGATCAATAAACACCAGCAGATGACACATTGTCATTTCGAGGGTTTTGGGATAACAGACCCTGGCGTTGTGTGCTGATTTTAAACGTTAGAAACAAAAGATAACAGGGGAAAGATAAAGATAAAGATAAATAAAATAAAAAAAGACAAGGGAAGAGAAAGAAAGGA